CGCTCTTCAGGTTGGCTTTTCCAAAATCTATTTATTCTCTTCTAGTCCAGTAGATGTGTAATATTTTCTTGATTTGTTTGGGATTCTGCTTTAGCTTCAACGCTAGTGATCGATTTATGCTGTTCTTAGTAATCTCTGCCAGATTTCAAGCCACTCATGGACGGTAGGTGGTGTAATATGGATAATTGGCAATGAAGAGAGAAGTTTCTTGCGCCCTAAAATTTTCAATAAGATTTGCTGATAGCTTTATTTATTTATTTATTTATTCCATGATCAATGCTCAGGGGGGCTGTTTGACAACTTTTGGGATTTAAATTATTAGGATTTCCTAAATCCTGAAAATCTGCATTTTACAGGATTTCGTAAATTCTGAAATTGCTAAATCCCAGAAACTGTTTGGCAGTATTTAATAAATCTAGCTAGGGGCTATTTGGCTGCAGGAAAGATTTATTTTAAATAGGATTTAGTAAATCCTGTAAATCCGGCTTAGTAAGTAAATTCTGACAAATTCAGAGAATCTGCTTGACATCTTTAATAGGATGTAACAGGATTTAATGCAAAAAAAACACCTAATTGAAATAAAATCCATGAAAAAAAGAACAGAGCTATAATTAGTTAGCTTCAACAGACTGAGTTGTGACCAACGCACATTAACCCATGTGGAATCTTTCATATTGCATGATAATGTTTCAATCAGTGGAAAAAAAAAAAGAGATTGGTGCTTACAGACAAATAAGCATTCCTGGATTTGTACCTAGATCACATTTTGACTCATGTTAGAAATTGTCACCAAGCAATAGAATTTCCACAATCTCGGACAACATAATTCTAGGATGAAAAAAAAAATAACAATTGCACCAAAAAGGGTGCTTATAAGTGGTACTACCAACTTTGATTCTATCGGAGGGCATTACTTATACTTTTGCTAGATTTTGATCGTGATATCTAGATAATAAAGGATGAGAAGAAACAAAAATCACTACTATTAAAGGAAATAATGGTAGAAATATGGTATTGCACTGCCCAAATTGGACCTTAGCTTCGAGTGTCATACATGAGAGCATCCACCTTTTATTTATAAGAAGCTGTGCTGCCACAATGATCTTTATGGCAATACTATAGGGTTACACCAACCTGTTGGGAGTTTAACTTCCAAGTGCTCTTTATGAGAGCAACCACTTTCATGTTTATAGAAGTTAAGGGAGGAGTTAAGATGCTTATTAGGGATACGGAGCTAAACTGTTTTTTATTCTATTTGATGTGAATTTTATTGTCGGTTGTTAATCTCATATCAAAATCCAGTCTTTCTCATTTGGGCTACTTATAATGACTAAGTACCTATTTGGAAGGCTATTAGAAAAGTATAGCCATTAGAAAGTTATTTTGTGTAGCGGGTATGGGCCCCATATTAAGGGGAAAAGTTGAGCTAAATTGGTTAGCTTTTTACCATAGTCTCAAAAAGTCACTTGTGCATCCACAATATCTTGTAGGATTGTAAAAATTACTCATTGTTCGCGAATAACCCGTTTTCAGCTCACTACGTAGCTCATGTACAATTTGTTTGCTAATAGTGCGGGATGAGTGCACAATTTTTTTGTATTCAATTTCTGAATGAGCCAAATGTGAATAAACCTTTGTTCGATCATAGTCCGTTTATTTTGGCTCGAACTAAATAAATAAATAAATAAAGAAATAATGTTTATTATAACTTGTATTGATTTTTTATGTTGCATTAAAAATATTGAATTTTATTATTTTGTAAGTTGTTTGAGCTAATTTCGAGCCAAATATGAGTTGAAAACGTGCAAAACAATTTGAACCGAGCCAAACATGAACATGCTATTTAGAAGATATTTCTAACGTGAGCCTATTTGGAACAAATTTAATTGAAGGAATCAAATACGACCAAAAATTGGGCTTGCTCAAGCTCAGTTTGTTTACCTATACATAACTTCTTTGGCTTACCATTATTAAGGCGACTTTCTTGTTGCACTAAATTATTCTTTTGAAAACCATAATATAAGGGGTTGAGTTTCTCCTACTTGAGAAGTGAGCATACATATCATGATGACATAAAACCAATATATGCAATTGATAATGAGTATGAAAATAGATAGTTAAACTAAGATTTGGAATTATCTTGCCATTACTTCATAAGAGACTAGGCTATTGTTGGATGGTTGCTCGCAACCTAGCGAGCAAGAGAGAGGGAGAGAGAGAGAGAGAGAGAACCCTGGCGATAAATTGAATCCAAAGTATTTTATCCATTCACACAAACTATTCAAGCGCACAAATATTTAACAAATCTTAATAATAAAATTACCCGTAAATTGCTCACAAGCATATCCAACATAGAAACGATGAAATAATTTCTTCCTTTGCACAAATCACTTCAATCCTGTGTGAACAATTTAATCAAGAAGTGAGGCCCCTCACACTTTTTCAGAGTAGGAAGTAGATGCAATTTTAAGAATGTCAGAGGAGGATCACAAGACGTAGGGTGTTTTTGGGGCAGCTTATAAATGCAAGGGCGTTTTTGAATACGTTGCGGTACCATTTGGATCGCGTGTTTTACCCGCTTATCCGAAAACACGATTTCATTTTTACACTAAACACAGACCGCGGGTCGACCCGCGGGGCGCGTCTCAGGATAAACTGTTTATACTGAAACACAAAAGCTGCTCCAAACACACCCGTAGATGATGACTCGAAGCTTAATAATGGAAAAAATTACAAGCCTGCTATAAGGTTATAAGCTCTGGCTTCTCATAAGAGTGGTTCAAGTCTTGTATATTCAAAATTTTCTACTTGTTTCATATTTGGTGCAAGATCATTCTCTATGATCATGTTGAACTTAACAATCTTTTCCACACATGAGAGACTTTCATATTTTGACCATTGTTCTTACACAATTTTTTCACTTACTTCAAATCGTGTGAAGCAATTTTTGAATCTAGATTGACCATGATAGAAGCAACCAAGCCCTACGAGAACAAACAATTTATGAAACACTTCGATTATAATCAATCAAGTGCTCTAATTTCACTTTTTTGGAGGTAGAGCATGAGGGACCAAGGCGTGCTTAATATGCTAGTAGATGAACATTTATTAATCTAGTTGTTTAGGTTATGAAGTAAGGATTGTTGCTTGTATATTAAGATTACACCTCTTATTTAATATTTAATGCAAGACTATTCTCTAAACTAGTGTGGATCATAACAAATGGGTCTTCATCATGGAGAATTCTATGCCATGGAGACATGTTTCAAGAGGCGCGTCCTTGAAAGAATGTAACTTTATGGGCAAAGTAAATTTTTATTTGTAGTGATATCTATGCATTATATATATATTTATATATATATATATAGTGGCTAATTTCTATAATCATTATAGATTTGCCGCTCAGTGATTTGTTATGTTGGAATTAATTTATTCCGTCCATTCACAACTATAGTTACTCCCCTTTCTTAAGAACACATTGAATTTGAGGGATCAAAGCACTATCAGAAATAGAATAAATAATTCCTGCATCCAACCACTTTAAAATTTTTTTTTAACATCTTTCATGATAGGATTCAACCTCCTTTGAGGATAAAATATCAGTTTTATTGTACAATGAAAAATATAATAAATTCATAGATTATTCTCTGGCACAGTATCAAAATAAATGGGTTCGTCGACAATATCAGTATCAGAACAAATATAAGAGATTCATATATTATTCTCTGGCACAGTATCAGAGATAACACTATTTTGAGCCTTACAATCTCCTCTTCTTCTCTTGTAAAATTTTGAAGTTGTCGCTCGTCGGCGACCTCCCCCACGCCCAAACCACCATATATCTTCTCTCTAGGCTGAAACACATGACAGACAAAACTTAAAATTCAGCAAAGTCTGATTCTATCAAATTCGATAATTAGAAAAATTTTGCTTCCAAATCCAACCATGCGGATGCAAATACATCGACGAGTTCTGCACCATTCACTCTTACAGTCGAACAATATCAAAGTCTCATGTCACTACTTGCAAAGATCAAATCTAATTTGATGGAAAATTATGTTGGTATTACATCAATCATGAGTGATATCTCAGGTGAAATTTTTTGTGCCTTTATTTTTAACAAAGAAATGTGTTGAATTTTTGACGCAGAAGTCGTGGATCACATGCTATATTCAACCAAACTACTGACTACAAAATATAGTGTCCTCAATCGAAAATTTCACTTGCCTAACGGGACTATTGAAACTGTCACATACATAGACAACATCCTTTTGTTGACTTAATTACAAAATATTTTGTCTCTTCCTTCAAATTAAATTTGATTTCCATTAGCAAATTTGTGTTTGATTCACAATGCCTTGTCATTTTTAATAACGACACTTGTGTACTACATGACCAACAATCCAAGAAAATGATTGGGACGAGAACTAAAAGAGGACTCTACTAACTTGATACTTCACAAAAGAACAAATGCATTGTTGTTATTTCATCATCCCCAAATCTCTGGCATAAACGTCTAGGTCATCCATCTAATAAAGTTTCTATCTTGTTTCCTTTCCCAATTATAGAAAAAAAAATTGTAATATTTTTTTATTGTTTAATTTGCCAATTGGCTAAGCAAACTCGTTCATCTTTCCAAACTAGTTCCATTCACTCAAAAACATCTTTTAAATTAATTCACGTTGACATTTGGGGAGGATACTAAGTTCCTTCAATCATAGAAGCACGGTATTTTCTCACAATTGTTGATGATTATATTCGGTGTACATAGACTTATTTGATGAACCATAAACCAGATACACATTTATACATCAAGTTCATAAACTTTGTTGAAACACAATTTAGTCTAAAGGTCAAAATCATTCAAAGTGATAATGGTTCTGAATTTATATTGAGAAATTTTTATCTCAACAAAGACATCAT